TATATATATATATATATATATATATATATATAATATCATATCATATATCGTATTATATTGTAACGTGCTGGGTTGCGGTATCGGTTGACCGTTCTTCGTTACTTGCTCGGTTCTCCTTTTTGCACTTGCCCAGAAAACTTACTCGAAAAGTACTCAATGAAGAAACATTTCATTATAGTGTTTTGGAAAGCTCTCGAGGTCAGCTACAAGAATATGTAATAAAAAATAGAGGATGCCATTAAAAAAAATTGAGGTAACCTTCATGTGACTTTCAAATAATTCTTCAAGGTCAAACCAATGGTACCGTCTTATGGTCCCCTCGAAACCAAACAACTTTTGTCTGAAAAATTTTTCTCTCCCGGGCTTGGTTTTCGAAATATTCGACTGGATGGATTAAAATGGTCCACTCTGTATATAATATGATATTATTAAAAAGCGTTCAAAAAATATATATAAAGTTAACATTTCTAAACATTAATTTAATATTTCTTGCTTACTGGGCATTGATGTATTCTACTATATGTACAACATAATATTTTACCTTATTCGCTGAAGCAACTACAGGTGGAGGTAATGAATTTGAAAATAAGTATGGTCTACTTTTTTGTCTTAACAAACTGACAATCCCTTTCTTACTAGTAGTATAACCACCTGCTGCTCCACCAAGAGCTTTTCCTAATGTAGAGTTAATAATGTCAACACTACCCAAGAGATCAAAATACTCTTCTGTTCCTCTGAATGGGGGTAAAATTAAATATGAATAAGTTGTTAATATAATAATATGATAATATATAATATAATGATGGTTTATAAATAAAATGATTATATAAACATCTTGAAATACCTGCCAGTTTTACCAAAAAATCCAGTAGCATGACAATCATCTATGAATGTGATAGCATCATATTTTTTAGCAAGTGCGATTATATTTGACAATGGTGTGACAGTACCATCCATGGAAAATACTCCATCGCTTGCAATAAGGCGTAAACGTGCTGATCTGCTTTCCTGAAGCTTATTTTCTAAATCCGCCATATTTCTATGTTTATATCTTGAAATTATTAATAAAGATAAAAAGTAATATCACAACGCATCAATAAAGCATTAACTTAATAAAAAGCATGAACTAAAAAAACTTGTTCTTGAAGAAGTAATTGAAAAGAAAATTACCTGTACTTTTTTGCTTTACACAGTCGAATGCCGTCGATAATAGACGCGTGATTTAATTCATCGCTTAAAACTGCATCATCAGAAGTTAACAGAGCTTCAAAAATACCAGCGTTAGCATCGAAGCAAGATGCATAAAGTATAGCATCTTCTCTGCCGTGAAATGTGGCGATTTTTTTTTCTAATTCAACGTGTATTTCTTGCGTTCCACATATAAATCTCACAGAACTCAGACCAGCTCCATATTTATCCAACGCAGTTTTTGCTGCGTTAATAACATTCTTGTTATTCTGCATTTAAAGAAAGAAGAAATGTTATTCTTACAATTTGTTTTTGTTTTTATAAAATTATATATATAGTCGTCAAACACAGAGTAAGTGGCGCTGTTGAAATATTGGGTCAAAAAGACGACTTTATTTTAGAAAATGAACAATTTTATTAGTAATATTTACATAGTCACTCAACATGAACATACAGAGTTTGTCCGGAAAGTAATGCGTCGCATTTTTTTAACGTTATTTATTAATCGCACAGGTACAACAACTTAAAATTCTTCGAAGTACGCCCCTTCAGCATCTATACATTTTTGCCAGCGCGATTTCCATGAGTCATACGCTTTCTGGAACTCGTCGACTGTGATGCTGTTCAGGGCGGCCGTCGACGTAGCTTGCACATTGTCCACCGACTCCAGATGTTTTCCTTTAAGGGCCCTTTTCTGCCGAGGGAACAAAAAGAAGTCTGCCGGGGCCAAGTCGGGGCTGTAGGGCGGCTGCGGCACTGTTGCCACACCGATCCGGGTTAGGTATGCCGTGACAACAAAGGCGGTGTGCGCTGGTGCGTTGTCGTGGTGGAGTTTCCAATTTCCGCGGATCTCCGCGCGGACGCGGGCGACCCTGTTCGTCAGTCTGTGAAGCACTTCCACGTAAAATTTCGCGTTGACGATCTGGCCAGGGGGTACGAATTCACGGTGCACTATCCCCTTTGCATAAAAAAAAAAACAATGAGCATTAACTTCACGCGAGACTTGCTCATGCGAGCCTTCTTCGGCATTAACTTTGACTCCGGATCATATTGAAAAACCTACGTCTCATCCCCTGTGATAACGTTGCTTAGGAAATCGGGATCATCTGCGCAAAGGTGTTGGAGTTCTGCCCACACTTCCACCCGATGTTGCTTCTGGAGATCTGTCAAAACTCTGGGCACAAGTTTTGCGCAAATCTTCCGCATGGCCAAGTCTTCCGATACAATCTCGTGCACAACCGTTTTCGGCAAGTTCAGTAATTCAGACATTAAGCGAACACTCATTCGACGGTCTGAAAACAGTAGTTGGCGCACACAAGTCACATTGTCGTCCGTTCGCGATGTTGATGGGCGTCCTGCGCGGGCTTCGTCTGCGACCTCCTCCCGACCATCTCGAAACATATTGTGCCATCTGTTCGACTGCGATCTGGAAAGGCAATCATCTCCGAAGGCTTCCTGAAGCATTTCAAATGTTTCCAGCGGCGTCTTCTTAAGCTTCATACAAAACTGTATCGCATAGCGTTGCTTTAACGTTTTCTCCGTGGTACCTTCGACGCGACCACTACGCAGAAGTTCTCGGAACAAGCCGTCCTATTCCTTCAAGCGCATGAAGGCAATTGAGCGACATACCGCTAGAAAGCTACGGGTTTCCCCCACCCTCTCCAACCGGTCCGACCGCTCAGGGACGTATACTCGCATCACAAAAAAATGCGACGCATTACTTTCCGGACAAACCCTGTATATTTACACATTAAATATCAAATTGTAACAAAATTTTACGCATGATGGATATAGTCGTCATGACACAAGATTCTGCCACATCTCCATGACGGATATATTCGTCAAACACACTTAACTGGTTAATTATATTAATATTAATATTGATATATATACGCACGACAATAATAATATTAATATTAATATTGATTCCTTTATTTAAAAGTTCTATCTTACCGCCAAGCCTAAGTAATTGTTCGCGCAAAAATTGAGCACTTTCCTGCCATTTGATAAAGTAATTCTTGTTTGTTGAGATGATGCGATTATACGCTCGGTTTTCCAAGTACCGGCTTTTGCTATAGCTGCCAATTCGGACTCTACGCAAGAACTCAAAAAGCCCATAGTTCGATGAACATTCCATGTTCTAATTCGGATTTGCAAAAATGTACCTATAAAAGATTAATATTAAAAATAGTAACACGATTATCTTATATTTTTTTCAGAAAAAGACAAAAACGACACCAAATTTATTTATATACTCCCCTATACAAATAAAATTATAAATAGCAAATGTTGTTATATTTATACAGGGTGTCTCATTTTAAATGACCCATTGAAATATTTTTTTTAAAAAGCGTTTTAGAGAAAAACGTTTTAAACAAAAGTGGTAGGGTTTAGGGAAGGACATTCAATCGTGACTTTGCCTTTGTCAGGAATGTCCTTTTTCAAAGTCATTTGAAGGTCAATTTTTTTTTTTTATGGAATGGCCTATTTTTGATATCGGAAATCGATAGAGGAGGAAATTTCACGTTAAAAATATGTAGCAACTTAATGGGTTCAAATTGACCCCAAAGAGTCACTTCAAGGTCAAAAACTATTCACACAGAAATGAAAAAAGCATATCAGAGCAGTTTGACGTTCAGTTATGCTTCATATCATGAGGTCAAGTTGACTCCAGAGGTCATTTCAAGGTGCACTTGTATTTAATATACACATTGTACATACATGTGACTCAATACGGGAATGGAACCATTGCTTTGCACGACCGTTCAGTTTCGATCCAACAAGGACATTTGCAGCAACGACGCATACGTTCGTCTCACTACAAGTCGTCGAATATTTTCTCGAACGAAAAGTACACACCTCACACCACTTTATCCAAATTTCGTTGAAACCCGATACTGACCGATGCGCTTGGCTTTTCGAGTTTTTCCTCGACGCTACCCACACGATAATGTTCGTTACACTTGCTTCGATTAAAGCACCTTTAGCCTCTTGTCGATCTTGCACATTTTTGGAACTTTTCGACACTCACAAAATCACCTCTATTTTTTTACGAATAACTTTCAGGTAAAAAATTATACAAATACACTCAGGCCACTATCCCACTTTTGAAATTATAAGGAATAATAATTGATATACCCTTTTAACTCGTTATTATTATCTGCTAGTAGTAGAACCTTCTTTCATCTTAGAGATCACACCTTATTTCATCTTAGGGATTTTTAATTTTCTAGATATAGCGAAATGCCAGATTATACTCCGAACAAAATCGTTGATATTATTCTTTGGCACTTGTGAGTGTCGTAATAATTATAGACAAGCAGAAGAATTATATCACAATCAAATTTCTCAAAGACAGCATTCGAATCATCGTATGATTGCCATGATAGTTTTACGCCAACGATAACATCCACGTGAAGCAAAGATGTTGTTTCAACATACCAGAAAGGGATAATCCATAAGTGTTTGCCGTGTTGGGTATAGTTGTTATTAACCCCTTAACTTGTACGCTCGAGTTAATTCGAGCGCGCTAAACAGGCCAAACTGTGCACACTCGAGATAATTCGAGCGGCGTTGTATTTTATGCTGCTATAATTTTTCACACTCGAATATAATCGAGAATTGAAAATAACAATGTGAAAGCAAAGAAAAAAATTTTTTTACATAAAAATTTGATTTTTTTTGACCGGTTTTTTTTCAAAAAAACTGTGCGTTAAGGGGTTAATCTTCATATATGAACACGGCAAATTGAAAGCGAATTAAGTATCCCTAAATCAACAGCTCATAGAATTTTGAAATTACATAATTTCCACTCGTACCATGTTACTTTAACACAGAAATTAATACCTCAAAATTTTCAACAAAGATTAGTATTTTGTAGATGAGCACAAACAATGTTGCGACGTGATCCAACATTCTTTAAATATGTACAGTTTAGTGATGAGACTACGTTTCACAACACTAGACAATTAAATCGACACAATTCTCATTATTGGTCCGTACAAAATCCACATTGATAGCATGGAGTCAATTATCAACATCGTTGGCGTTTGATTATGTGGTGTAGCATTCTAAATGGAAATCTAATAGGACCTTACTTTTTCAATTAAAATGTAAATAGTGCTAATTATTCACATTTTTTACAGCACTTGATAGAATCGCTTAACAATATCAATCCGGCAACTAGGGAACTATGTGGTTTCAATAGAATGGTGCTCCACCACACTGGAGTAGGATAGTTAAGCAACATTTGAATTTAACATTTTCAGGTAGATGGATAGATCATGGTGGACCTCTTTCATGGTGTCCTAGGTCTCCAAACTTGATTTCAGTCCGGATTTCATTTTATGGAGTTTTTTGAAGAATATTGTGTACTCAAAACAGCCCACTATAAGAGAAAATATGATGGAGCGCATAACTCTTGCTTGTCGGAGAATTCCGGGAAACGTTCTTTTATTAAATGTCGATAATTTTGAACGTCAAGTTCAATTATGCATAGACAATAATGGTCAGGTATTTGAACATTTATTTAGACAATGAAAGAACACACTCAGATCGTGAGAGGTAAGGGGATTCACGCTAAACAAACAGCCTAGATCGTAAGAGACAACGAGACTTACGCTAAACAGGCATGCTACATCGTGAGAGTCAAGGGGACACAATTGCGTTTCCATTTATTGGGTGAATGCAAAAGTGCATGCGGAGTTTGTGAGTAAAAGTCAG